GGGACTCGATCCCGGGACTCCAGGATCATGACCTGAGCCGAAGGCAGTCGCTTAACCAACTGAGCCACCCAGGCGCCCACCACGATCTGCTTCTAAATTGGTGGGTCCAGCCCATCTTGTGGAAATGACCATTCTTCAGGAACCCACTGGCCTGTTCCAGCTCCCCTGTCCCAGCTTCTTCCCATTCCCTGATGCCCTCAAAAAAGTCACAGCGTTGATTGAGACTTCCTTTCCCTGGAGCAGAAACCAAATCCACACCCTCTGATGGAGCCCTGAAACCTCTGCAGCACACCAACACTATGCCCTCGGGCTGCCTGCCATGACAGCCCTGCCTGCACAATGACCGCTTCTGTGCCTTGACCTGGCAGGAGGGAGGCAGGAGGGGAGGGGACGGGTCACGGGCCAAGGGGGGAGGGGGATCTGCGGGGTCGGAGTCAGAAAGCGCTGTAGGCCACTGGGGATGCTCATCCCATTAGAGAGGTGAGCTGAGTGATTGCCCAGGGCCGCAGAGTTGCTTAGAGCAGGACAGTACTCCCTTCTGGTCCACGGGGTCTTGCCCTTGGGTCAGTCGATTTTGTCTTGGTCATGAGTTTTGTGAATGCACAACCCACAGAGCAGAAATCCTGCAGATTAACCTGTAGATGCTAGGGACGAGGGAAAAGTCAGGAGCACAAAGAGATGTAAAACAGAGGCTCTGCCACAAATTGGGGGTGAAGGAAGGGAAATGAATCCATTCAATCATTCAAACAATATTCATTTGACCTTACTGAATGCCTCCTGTGTGCCAGGCACTGTGCTAGGCTCTGGGGATGGAGCAGTGAACTAGTCACCACCCTCCCTTGCCCTAAGAGGAAGCTGCATGCCAGTAGCTTTATATGGGAGGACAGTCTGCACACAGGGGGCTAAGGTAGGCACTATCCCCATTTTACCTATGGGGAAAGTGAGGAAATTACCCACGGTCACACACTAAGAGGCAGATCTGGCATTTGAGGCTAGGTCTGTGTGACCCCAAGGCTGTGCTTGCCTGTCCTGCAGTTTCCTGCTCCCTCAAGGGCTTCCAGGTAGTTGCGTGGTAGAGCACCTGTGTCAGGCCAAGTGGCCACTCCAGGAGGCCCAGGACTGTTTGGTGGGAGAGAGGCTTACACACACCGAGGACAGAGGCCGTGGGAGGCTGGCTGCAGTACGGCTGGCAGTGCTGGGAGGATGAGACACAGGGCATAAGTAGGCGGGAAGAGTGGGGAGGGCACTCCTTGCAGAGGGAACTTGGAGGGAATGACTCATACCTGAGGCAGGCAAGTTTCAGCTGTGCCCACAGGTGTGCTTCCCTGAAAACAGACCAGCCTGACGGAGTGCAAAGTGGAGACTAATGGGAGATGCCAGAGTCGGCTCTGGTGGGCCCTGACGTGTCCGGGTTGGGGGTTGGCAGGTATGGTGCTGGGGAACCATCTGCCAGATGGTTCTGAGCTGGTGCCTGGGGCCTTTCCTCGGCTGCCCTCTCCCTCTCCCTAGAGCCTGGGTTCCAGGTGGTTGGCAGAAGGCTGGCCTCATGGGCAGCGAGGGCCCGTGGTGATTGCTGGGGCCGGCCCACCCCAGGCAGGACAGCAGAGAGGGTGAGGGGAGGGCAGCCAGGAATGGAAAAGTATCAGCCCAGGAGAGCGCCCGGCGACCACCAGCCAGGATTCCTGCCAGCTCCTGGGCCTCGAAGGTCGCCCTGAGCCGAGCAGCCTTGCGGGGCATCTCTGCGCAGCCCCAAGAGCCCAGCAGCCCGCAGCCAGCGCCCGGGGAGCGCGCGGGCCGTTGGGGAACGGAGCTGAGGAGGGCGCGGGGGCGGCCCCGGCTCGGGATCTGTGGGTGTCGGGGCCGCGTCCGCGCCAGCCGCGGAGTCGGAGCCGGGAGTGGGCGGAGGAGCCAGGCGGACGGCAGACAGGCCCAGCAGGCCCTCCCCCGCCCGGGCCCGGGGTGTGTGTGTGGGGGGCGTTGCTCGAGGGCCCCTGTGAAGGCGGGTGGGCGCGGCCGGCCTGGGAGAGCTTCAGGGGGCGACAGCCTCCGCTGTCCGCGCAGTGGGGCTCGCGACCCGTCACCGGAACGCCTCCCAGGGCCTCCCGGAGCAGTCGGGAGAAGGGCACCTCGGGGAGGACGACCGCAGCCTCTAGGGGGCTCTAGGGAGAGAAGCCCCCGCGCACCCCAGCAGGGCGCGGGCCAGGTGACAGCGCCGGGGCTGGGCTGCGCGGAGGAGGCGGCCTCCCGGGCCAGGGGCGGTGGCAGGGGCGGCCCCGGGATCACATGGGCGGAGGCAGGTCCTGGAGCCCCGGGCGGGCTCTCCCCAGAGTCGGGCAGACGGCGGCGGCGGCGGTGTCTCCTCACCCTCCCTCCTTCCCTTCCCTCCCGGGTCTGGCCGCCCAGCCCGACGGGTTAGCGGGAGCCAGGTGAGCGGGAGCCAGGTGAGCGCGCCCACCTGCGCACCGTCCGCACGGCCGGCGACCTTCCCGGGTCCGGGGACCTCGCAGCTCTGCGCGCCCGCGCCCCCTCTGCGCTGCTCTCGGCGCCCCGGCTCTTTCCTCCGCCCACGGCCCCCGTCCCTGCAGCCTCGCCTGGAGGCCGGCGCCCCCTGCGTGCTGGGCTTTCCTGATCCCGGGCTCTCCTCCTCCAGCACCCGGCCCGCGGGTACTTTGGCCTCGGAGCGTAGGAGCCAGAACTGGGAGAGCCGGGCGGGCCGACGGGCTGGGCACCTCCCCGCGGCCCAGGGCGCGGAGTCCACCGGCCGGCTCAAAGGTCTGAGAATCCAAAGCCTCTGTGAACCGCCAGCGCCGGCCTGGGGACCTGGGGGACCTGGGCAGGGACAGGGGCTAGGCCCGGGCAAAAGGCGAAGCCAAGGACCCGGGAGAGGGCAGACAGCTCTTCTTGCTTGGGCGCCCTCTCCCCAGGCTCTTAAACACGGGAAGTGGCCCTAGTGTCCTTGATAGATTCCCACAGCACTTGCAGTCTCTGGGCCTCCCCAGGGGCAGCCCCTGGGGTGGGTGCTGGGCAGGGTGGTGGCCCAGGGCTGGCATTACAGCTTCCTGCCTGAGTTGGCTCCTGACTCCATAACTAGAGGCTCAGGAAATCCTACCAGGGCTGGGTCTGCAAGGACACTCCCTTGCCCAGCGGAGGGGGCTGTGGATGGGAGACCTGCGGCCCCAGCTAGCAGGCAGCATCAGTCAGCTCGCCCTGCTAGCCATTGCCAGGGGGTGGGTGTGCCCAGCTTGGCAGATGAGCCCGTCCTTCTGGCTGGGGCTGTTCAGAGGGCAGCAGGCCCCTGGGGGAGGTGGGAAGCCTAGTCTTGCCTACCTGGACCGCATTGCCAGGGGCCAGGCAGGCAGCCCAGAGGCCCCTCTGAAGACCCCGGTCCAGTCCCCACCCAGCCAACTATTTGAACAGTCTGTGGTGGCATCACCCCCTTGTTTGCTGTCACTCCTGTTCCCAGAGTGGTGCCCTCCCCCAGAGTGGGGAGGAAGTACCTTGTGCAGTCAGTTTTGGGGACAGGAAGCAAGCACTGATGGGACTTAGCCTTGCCCGGGGCGGGGGGGGCGGGGGCAGGAAACGGTGACATCTCCTACCACCTCCAGCCCCTGCCCGCCTGGTCTCCATCCAGCAAGGCCCTGTGAGGCACCCTAACGGCCTGCCTTCTGGGAGCTGCGCTGCTGAAGACCGTGGCGGTGAAGGGGGAACTCAGAGTCATGGCTTCCCAGGGTGGGGGGAAGTGAAACCGGGGTGGGGGGTTGAAGGAGGGAGTTAGTCACTTCCTCTACCCTCCCCCTCCCCCCCCTCCCCAGCCCCTAACTGGCTGCTCCCTGGACCTGTCATCCTCTCTCTTTTGCTTCTTCTCCCACCTGACAGGATCTCTGTCCCTTCTTCCTCAGATATGGCGCTGACGGTGGATGTGGTGGGGCCAGGGCCCTGGGGCTTCCGGATCACTGGGGGCAGGGATTTCCACACGCCCATCATGGTGAGCAAGGTAAGGGCTAGTTCCGGGAGCTAAGGAGGTACCCCCAGAGTTAGGGTCTACCCTGTCTACCTGGTCTCCACAGGTACCTTTCTTTTTTTATTCTGGAGTCAGAAGGCCTGCTTCTGGGAGTGTTAGCCTGGGGAGGACAGGGACCCCATTGCCATGGGGATGTGGTGACCACTTCGGGAACAGACTTCTAGGGAATGAAAGGGAGCTGGGCCAAGTACAGGGCCTGCTCTTTTCTCCTTGGTCACCAACCCTATACGTGCTGGCGGCCGCTTGGGGGGGTTACTAGAACAGGAGCCCCAGGTCCTTGGTAGTGTCTTCTTGACCCAGGCCCAGGCCAGGGAGCATTCACGCGGCAGCTACCTGTATGGTGTGCTTTGCAAGGGCAGGGCTCTCTATCCAGAAGTATTTCCAAGCACAGCCCCTGAAATCCTGCCATTTCTTCAGGAGGCTCTGTGAGGGTTCCAGTGCTGGGGTGAGGGGCATGGTTCCACTCCAGCTCTGGGAGGGGATTAGCTGATGAGCTGGGCAGACACTGCTGGGCAGGGAGACAAAGGGGGACACGGGCCAGCCTGGTTCAAACCTGCTGCTGTGTTTCTTGGCAGGACAGAGAGAAACCCCTATCCTCTATCCCTATAGGAATGTCATCGCTGTCTGAGCAGGCGTATCTCAGACCACTTGTTCCTCATCCCCTGCAGGTAACTGAGAGGGGCAAGGCTGAGGCTGCTGACCTCCGGCCTGGCGACATTATCCTGGCCATCAACGGGGAGAGCGCTGAGGGCATGCTTCATGCTGAGGCCCAGAGCAAGATCCGCCATAGCCCCTCACCCCTGCGGCTGCAGCTAGACCGGTAGGCCCCCCACCTCTGCTGGGCCTGCCAGCATTCTTCTCCCCTCTGCCAGCCTGCTGCACAGTGGCTGCCCTCAGCCCCAGCCTGGCCTTCCTGGGCCTTTTTGGCTCATGTTTGAGAAGGTCCAGGCTCTGGAGCTGTAGCAGGATGGGCTGAGGGGTGTCCCTGTGCTGGCCGGGCATGCAGCCATGGGCAGGGCAGGCTGGCATCAACCACCTGGATGCCCGGGTTTGACTGGTTCCCAAGTGTGCAGGGTACAGGGTCTGGGCATGAAGTGAGTTGAAGAGGGGAAAGGTGTGCCTTCGGCTGGGTCTCCTGGGCCCCTGCCTCCAAGAGGGAATGGCCTTTGTTCAGATCCTGGGGGGTGGTTTGAGGAGTTTAGGGGCTCCCCCGCCATTGCCTCTCTGGGCTGTGCAGGTGAAGGCAGATTCCCAGGCTTGGGTTTTCAGCCAGGAGGCCTGGGTTGGGGGTGGGGGTGGGAACAGGTGGCTCCCTGGGGTGGAGCACCAAAGTGAGTCACAGGGCAGGAATGCTGGGAGATCCCCCAGCCAGGAGAACCCTCTGGGCGGGCCTTGAACCTGAGTCAGGTACCTCCTGCCTCTCTGCCATCCCCTCCCCTCACTGGGCTCTCTCTGGGCCCTGGCTCCTTGCCCTCTCTTCACCCCTACCATCCCACAGTGCCATAGAAGCTGGCTCCCATGATGCTCTCATGGCCTTGGCTTCTTTAGTGACTCCCTCATGCCACTCAGGCTTGTGAGTGTTTGCAGGAGTGGGACCCAGAGGAGGAGGGTGGAGAGTACCTCAAGGCATCTGGGAAGGGAACCAAAATCTACAAGGGACTGCAGAGTGGGGTGGTGGAGGGGCAGGGAGCTGCTCACGCCATCACCTCCTGTAGGCTCCTCTTAGAGGGACCCAGTGCCATCAGGGAATGGGCCTGACCAAGTCCCTCCAGGTTTCCAGCTCCATGTTGGGCAGGTCAAGATTCCCTGCCTCTTCTTTTTGTCTGGGCTGCTCCTAAACCCTCCCAGTCTCCTCTACAGGAGCACCCAGAAACTCTGGCAGGAAGCAGTGCTCTGGACTGGAGCCAAAGCCCAAGCTCCCTTCACTCTGGCCCCACACGCCTCCTTGGGGAGGCTGAGGCTGGTGTGGTGTGTGGTGACTGCAGTTCTTGTTGACCTCTCTAGAAGTGGCCAGAGATCCAGGAATGGTGTAGTGGGGTTGGGACATGGCAGGCTCTTTCTTCACCCTCAGTTAGTCCCAGACCTCCAAAGGCCTCCTGTTCAAGACTCCAGCGGGAAGGGCCTTGGAGGGGGGGTCCCCGGGGAGCTGAGGTGGGGGGCACATCTTTTGCTGGCTACCTTGATGATTGGTGGGGAGCTGGGCCTGCTTGTTGCCTTGGCTCTCTAGGTCCTGCAGGATGGTGTGGGGGCGGGGGGAGACAGGCTCCACCCTTTGTTTTATGGAGGAGAAGCCTTCAGAAGGGACCGGGAATGACCCTCTCAAAGATATTCGAGCCATTAGCAGCAAAGCTGGTGGGGGACAGCCTCTGGCTGGGCAGAGGAGAGTGCACAGCGGGCCCGGCCACTGTTGGACTTTAGGAAACTCCCTTTCTCTCTCTGGGCTTCAGTTTCTCCGTGCGTGAAAGATAAAGGATTATTTATATGAAATCAGCACTCTCCCCCAGAATCGATCTATAAACTGAGGCCGACCAATGACAAAGTCTAGATGAAATGCCCAAAAAAAGAAGAAAAGAGAAAAAAGAAAAAGAAATAAAAAGAGGGGGGCGCCTGGATGGATCATTCATTAAGCGTCTGCCTTCGGCTCAGGGCATGATCCCAGGGTCGTGGGATCGAGCCCCACATTGGGCTCTCCGCTCAGCGGGAGGCCTGCTTCTCCCACTCCCCCTGCTTGTGTTCCCTCTCTCACTGTGTCTCTATCAAATAGATAAATAAAATCTTTGAGAAAAAGAAGAAGAAAAAAAATTTTAAAAAAGAAATAAAAAGAGGGGTGCCTGGCTGGCTCAGTTGGTGGAGCCTATAAGACTTCATCCCTGGGTCTTGAGTTTGAGCCCCATGTTTAGCATAGAGATTACTTAAAAAAAAAAAAAAAGAGGGGCGCCTGGGTGGCTCAGTTGGTTAAGTATCTGACTTTGGCTTAGGTCGTGATCTCGGGGTCCTGGGATCGAGCCCCATGTCTGGGCTCCACACTGATCAAGGAGTCTGCTTCTCCCTTTCCCACTGCCCTACTCCCCAGCTCGTGCCCTTTCATGCTCTCTCAAGTAAATAAATGAAAAAAAAAATTTTTTTTTTTAAAGATTTTAGTTATTTATTTGACAGAGAGAGACACAGCGAGAGAGGGAACACAAGCAGGGGGAGTGGGAGAGGGAGAAGCAAGT